CTTATTTATTTTTGACTATTTGATCTACTGATTTCAGAGAGGCATGTCAGTCTTCCACTATGACTGTGAATGCTTCACATATATTTGAAAGCTCTGTTTTCTGATGTATAAACATTAATTTTGTCAGTGGACTATGACTTTTATTAATATGAAATATAACACTTTGTCCTATGTAATACTTTCCATTCTGAATATCTGGCCGATTACTATTGTTCCTGCTTTTTGTTGGCATTTGCTAACAAAATTATTTTTCTATCTCTTTAGGATTAACTTGTGATGCTTTGTATTTAATTGAACAGTTTTATATGTACACACACTGTGAGGCTCTATGTTGTAATAGAGAAATCTAAACCCTTATGATTACAGATGTATTTAATTTCATCTTTTATTCTTTTTCTCCCAGCCCTCTCTCTGCCTTCCCTTCCTTTCTTTCCTGCCTTTGGTTGAACTTTTCAAATTTTATTTGCTGTTTCTTTCTCCCACTCCCTAGGATGAAAACTGATCATCTTATTTCTTTATTTCTATTCTTCTAACAGTTACCCTTACGTTTTGGTTTTTTTTTTTTTTTTTTTTTTTAAGAGATAGGGTCTCACTCTGTTGTTCAGGCTGTAGTGCAGCGGTGTGATCATAGCTCAGTGCAGCTCCAAACTCCAGGGCTTAAGTCATCTTCCTGCTCAGTCTCCCAAGTGCATGCTGAGTACCTGGAACTACAGACACACACCACCATGTCCGGCTAATTTTTCTTATTTTTTTGTAGAAATGGGGTCTCTATGTTGCCCAGGCTGGTCTCAAACTCTTGGCCTCAAGTGACCCTCTTGCCCCAGCCCCCCAAACTTCTGAGATTACAGGTATGAGCCACTGTGTCCAGCCAAGTTTTGTTATATTTTTATTGAGGTGCATTTTATATAAATCTAAGTGTACAGCTGGGTAAATTCTTCCATATGTTTATATTCAGGTAACTACCACCCAGATCAAGATGTTCAACGCTTCCCCTCAAGCCCCTTCCCAGTCAATAGCCCCTGCAAAAAGTAATCACCATTCTGATCTCTACCATTATAAATGCATTTGACCTGTTTTTAAATTTCACATATGTGCAATCATACAATCCATACTCCTTTGTGCCTGGCTTCTTTTTCTCAAAGAAGCAAAATTTATCCATGTTATTCCATGTCACAATAGTCAGCTCTTTTTTCACTGCTATGTAGTATTCCATTGTATGAATAAACCACAATATATCCATTCTACTGTTGAGAGGCATTTGATTGGTTCTAGTTTTTAACTACTGAAGCTATTGTGATCACTCTTTTAAGCATGTCCTTTAGTAGACAGAAAGCCCTCATTCCTGTAAGCTAAATTCCCAGGAATGAAAGTGCTAGATCGTAAGCTATCTGTAGTATTTAGCATTAGTAGATACTGCCAGTTTTCCAAAGTGGTTATAACATACACAGTACCCCCCTCAATGTATACATGTTCCAGATACTCTGCATCCTAAGCAACATTTGGCACTGTCTTTTTAATTTTAACCATTTTTCTTGTGCATTTCCCTGATGACTAATAATGCTGAGCGTTTTTTCACGTGTTTATTAGCTACAGTTGTCCCTTGGTATCTGCAGGGAATTGGTTGCAGAACCACGCTCGTATACCAGAAACTATGGGTGCTCAAGTTCTACTGTCAGCACTGCATAACCTGTGGATATGGGGGGCCTACTATATTTAGGTATCTTCTTTCCAGAAATAACTGTTCAGATCTTCTGCCCATTTTCCTATTGAGCTGTCTTGCTTTTTTCTCGCTGATTTATATACTCTAGATACAAGGCCTTTGTTGGATCTGCGTATTGCAAATTATCTTCTCTCACTCTGTGGCTTGCCTGTCACTCTTAAAAGTGTCTGAAGATGAACAGAAATTCTTAATTTTAATTAAGTCCAATTCATCAATATTTTCTCTTATATTACCCTTCTATATTTTTTTTTAGAAGTTTCTTTTTGTTTTAACTTTCGCATTCAGGCTTTTAATTCGTTTCAAATTAATTTTTGTGTCAGGTTGAGGTAATGATTGTCCATTTTCTTCCATATGGCCATTCGGTTGATGCTATACCATTTACTGAAAAGACCATCTTTCCCCCACTGAACTGCGGTGGCACCTTTGTTGTTAATCGGGTAACAATGCAGGTATGGGTCTAGTTGTGAACTCTGGTTAGCCCTGCATTTTTAATGCATAGCTACACTCTATTTTTCTGTCTATATCTAGAACTTATGATCTCCCCACAAATAAGACAAACAACTTAGAAAGCTTTCATTTCTATCCTTCCCTCATAATTTCTCCCCATTTTAAGATCATGTGGAATTTTCGTTCCAGGCTATTAAGAACTACTGATTACTGCAGAATTAACAGTAACTGAGACTTAGCTATAAGAAGCATTTGTTGACTGGTGTGGTGGCTCATGCCTATAATCCTAGCACTCTGGGAGGCAAAGGTGGGCAGATTGCTTGAGGTCACGAGTTCAAGACCAGCCTGTGCAAGAGTGAGACACCCATCTCTACAAAAAACAGAAAACGTAGCCAGGCATGGTTGCATATGCCTATAGTCCCAGCTCCTCAGGAGGCTGAGGCAGGAAAATCACTTGAGCCCAGGAGACTGAGGTTGCAGTGAGCCAGGATGACGCCACTGCACTCTAGCCAGGGCAACAGGGTAAAACTTTGCCTTAAAAAAAAAAAAAAAAAGCACTTGTTTCTTATTTTTGATTCTCACATCTTTCTCTCTCTGATTCCTTGCTCATTTAATGAAGTATATTCTCAAACAACTTTTTCATAAGAAGTTTAAGGTGGTAAACTTTCCAAACCCTTACACCTATTGAACCATCTACATATTGTTCTTCCATCTGAGAATAATTTGCAGGAAGAGAATTTTAGGCTCAAAACCATGCCAAATTTCCACTGTCTTCTAGCATTCAACATTGCTAATTTTAAGTCTGATGCCAATCTGCTTTTCTTTACTTTGTAGGATAATCTCAAAGCATACCATCTCTATATCTCTATAACCATCACCATTCTACCCAGCTTTGGAAAACTTGAGAATGTGTCCAGTTTATGACTTTTTCCTTTATCACAGTCAGCTTTCTCTTTCAAGCTAAAAGAGGTTAATCATTTCCTCATCTCCATTTTCTCTTTTACCTTGTGGAACTACTTATTAGATACTGAAACAACTGGATCTAGCCTCTCCATCTCACAATATTTTTTTCTCATACATGCAATGACTTGTCCCTCTGAGTTACATGCTAGAACTCCTTGGCTTAACCTCCTAGCTCACTAATTCACTCTTCAATAATACCTATATTCTGCTATTTGGTGTATCTCCCAAGATTCTCATTTCCACAGGTGATCAAGCTTATTTTATCTTATTTTAAGGAGACATGAGGATATTAATTATACTAATTCAAAAATCTTCTTTAACTCTGAGGAATCATATCTATATACTTTGCCATCCATATACTATCTACTTATCTCCGTGTCTTTAAAAACAAAGAACCCAAAAGGGATCACCTAAGAGGGTTGGTTAGTATACCAATCTCCCAGAGAGCCTCCTGTACCTGAAAGATGAGCCTTCCAGTTATTCAGGACCATTAGATATGTGAGTATTTTTTAAAGGGGGAATCCCAAAAGAATCAGTATCTTACAGTCCTTGAAAGCTCTAGTATACTTCAAAGAATAAAATCTGAGTTTCTTCTAATTATGGTTTGATTCTGCTTTTTTAATTCTTTCATGAACTTTCATTATTAGCCTCTGTTACACTGTTTTTCTTTCCCACATTCATTCAAAAAACTGACCTATTAAAAAACTAATTCTTGGTTCAGACAAATGTTTTCTAAATGAGGCTTTCCTAATATATGATATTAAAATATCAAATAAACATCATTCAAACAATAATATGATGCAATATTACTTTACGATATTAAATAGTTTATACAACGTTTAAGTAACTCCAACCAGAGGCATGAATACTCACATGCTGTAAGAGGAACAACTCCCAACCATGCAAAGGCCACAAGTGTATAATGAAACCAATATCTTATTGCAGTACCAATACTTGTAACCAGTCCAGCAAATATGTCTTGAATTGGAAGCCGTGAAGGCATATCTGGAGAATAAACTATAAGAGGAAAAAAGTACATATAATTTCATGAATATTTAAAAATAGCTTAACTCATAAATATAAAACAGGCATGAATTAACTTCTAATATTTGAATTGTGCTTAATTTTTTCCTATAAAAACAATAAATCAAGTAGTTACAATATTACATTTACCCAAGAAATCATTTATGAGGCAAATCACATTGAAATGTGAAAATTAACCCCAAAAAAGGACTCTGAGGAGGAAAAAAGATTACTTCGCATCCTTCACTGATAGCCACGAACTTCATACCACATTCATTTACACATATTTTAGCATTTAAACAGTATAATTATCTGGTTTCTCAAATTTATTATAAAAGATCAGATAAAGCAAATAGGAACAAAGATGAAGCTGATGACGTCATCAAAAAAAATTCCCCCCAAATGTAAGCATTAGACACAGCACACAAAAAGCACAATAATCTGCAGCAGAGCCATTTCACGTGAGAGCAAACAACCCAATGACATTTGTCGGCCACCCTCCCAATTTTAGGATAATATTTAAAATTTCAAATGATTAATTCGGATCTTCCTACTGCTCTGCAAAATGTGGTTGGTTCAACACATTCAGAAAAAGAAAGGTTCTACCACATTTTAGAAAGATTCCCTTGTAAAATGGTTCCAGTAAAAACTAACGCTTATTAAAAAGCTCCACCATAAGTAACTCAGAGAGAACATACAGGAAGAACAACTCTTTTTCCAGTGAAGCCTAAACAAGGAATTATGAGATATAAGGTTTTGAAACCAATGATCTAAAATTTGTAAGAGCACTATCACAAACTGTTCACACCTATAAACAATAAACAATTAACAAAAGGCAACTTTTTACCACACACCCACAGATCACTGACTTCAACAGAATATTAGGTATACAGGAGCAAGTCATTAAACCAGTAATAAAGAGTTTTTGAGAAAGATGAAGGAAACACATATTAAATGAAAACTAAAATATACAAAACAAGTTTCTATTGGCCTCAAAGTAAAAGCCCACATGAGTATTTCCTATCAATTGCACTTCATAAAGATACTCAACTATTTATCTTAGTTTTCTATAAACTTTAACAAGCTGTAGAGCTTTTCTGTGCTACAGAAAATTAAAGACCACAAAATAATAAAATTGACATTTTTTGATGGTGATGAATGTAAAGCTCCAAAAGTGAAAATGTAGTAACTTTAATCGTTTATATTCATCAAATAAAAACAAAGTGAAACAAACACTCATTTACAGTATTTATACTGAGCAGCTCAAGGTGCTTTCAAAAAACAACTAAAATACAAAAACACCTTTGTAGGGGGAAGGCAATGTAATGAGATCCCAAAAAGAAAATTTATGCTTCAAAGTTTTAAAAATTTACCAGTATATACCTCTACTTATTTAAGATGAATGATACCGAATATTAATCAATAAGCACAGGAATTTTAATTAAAATTTTAAAGACCTGCAAAATATTTGGCTTAACAGTTACTCTCATGGAAAAAAAATATTTAAAACTTTATCTTTATTACTATTATTCTAACCTATACAATTTTAACTCAAAAGATAGTCCAAATTTGAACATTATTGGATATTTGATGAAATCACAACATCGCTCTTCATTTTTCTAGGTGGATAATGGTATTATATTTATGTTTTTAAAAAAGAATCCTTGCTTTTTAGAGATACATAATGAAATGTGTACAAATAAATTTTAAATGATGGGACTGTTTTACAATAAAAAGGATGGAGAGTTGGAGAATGAGAGCAGAGCATAGGTAAAATAAGACAGGCCCTGAGTTGAAATCAAGTGATGGATACATGTGGACCCATTATACCTTTGCATATGTTTGAACTTTTCCATGATTAAAAGTAAAAAGAAAAAGTACCCTACAAATTAAATCTCAGACACACACATGTATGTGTGTGTTAAAAGATGGCATGCAGTTTTAAAAATATTTTCCAAAACAGAAGAGCAATACTTCCTATTACTATTGAAGACAAGTTTAAAACAGGTGCTTTAGAATTGCTTAAACCCCTGAATGCTGACAGTAATAACCAAGAAAATGCAGTGAAAACTTCTAAAGAACTTACTTGGTGTGAAAGCAAATCTGTGCTTGCATAATTCACAGTATTCTTTTCGACTGTGTTTCAGCCACTGAACTAAGCTGTAATTACAAATACATTCATAAGTACAGTGTTAACAAAGAAACATTAAGGTTTCATTGAAAACTAATGTTCTGCTTTTATTAAAACTTTACATATCACAGAGCTGCTGCAATTTCAAATTTAGAATATTCTTAACTTTTTATAACCGATTTCTAAGTACAGAACTACAACAGCTAAAGATAAAAACATATGTATTTCTACTATTAAAAAGGTTCAATTAATCTAAACTATAATCTCCTCAAAGCTAAATGAATATGAAAGAATTTCCAAGCATTAACATCAGTTCCAATACTGGTCTGATAATAATGATGCCTGGTGGCTAGGTCTGAATCCTGGTTTTGCCATTAATTGGCTGGCTGTGTGGCCTAGGACAAGTTATTTAACTTTTCTATGCTTCAGTTTGCTCATCTGCATAATAATATTCCACCTCATAGTTTTCTTGTATGGATTAAATGAGTTAAGATATATAAAGCATTGAGAAAAGTTCTTGGCACAAAGCACTTCATAAATGTAAGCCATTATTATGCCAAGAAAAACTAGAAAACCATAACACCTGGAAGACAATGTATCAAAGTATAGGCATGATATTAAGAATTATGGAAAATATATTTTCCAAATGTTTGATTTTACGATAAAACTTTTAAAAATAGTTATAGATAAAATTCACTGAAATGATCCCTCTTACTGACAAAACTGAAGCTCAGACTTAAAACAATTTTCTAAAAAGTATGACTTCATATTGTATGCCTGTATCAAAACATCACATGTACCCTAAACATATACAACTATTATGTATTCATAATAATTTAAAAAATAAAAGTATGACTTACCATTCTTGATGTATAAACTTAATACTGCCAGTACATACACAAGGATGATAAAGAGGTTTCTCAGGTGTTCCTTCCGACCGACACACTCTACATATGTCTGTTAATGAAAAATAAAAATTGAATTTCCTTTGGTTATAATTTTTATGACAACAGACAACCAAAAACTAAAATACTGCATGCAAAAGCAAGAATCTATCACTTGGCAAAACATTAATCAATAGCTTGGAAAACTGAAAACTGTGATTAAGATGATATTCAAGTATATTATTTGAAACTAAAAACTTTCCTAAATAGGCCACGCACGGTGGCTCACGTCTGTAATCTCTAGTACTTTGGGAGGCGAGATGGGAGGATCGCTTGAGGCCAGGAGATCAAGACCAGCCTGAGCAAATTAGAGAGATCCCGTCTCTATTTTTTAAAAATTAGGCCAGAGTGGTAGCATGCACTTGTAGTCCCAGCTACTTGGGAAGATGAGGCAGGAGGATCTCCTGAGCTCAGGAGTTTGAGGTTGCAGTGAGCTATGATGACATCGGTGTACTGTAGCCCGGGCTACAGAGTGAGATCCTGTCTTTAAAAACAATAAAAATAAAATAAATAAAATCCTAAATAATGTATCAAAAGATAAGTCGTTCCTTTAAACGAGAGCTCTGTAAATAAATCCAAGTTGAAAATACCCGGAACAGTTGGTTTTATTTAAAACTGCACTCTCTTATAACTAACAAATACTGAACAGAAATATGCAAAACCAGGTCACCATTGTGTGTGTGTGTGTGTGCGCATGTACGTGTGTTTTAGTAAAAGGTCTCGCTCGGTCGCCCAGGCGGCAGTGCAGCGGGCCCTATCATACATAGCACTCGGCAGCACCAAACTCCCAGGTTCAAGCAATCCTCCTGCCTCGGCATCCCAGAGCGCTGGGGTCCAGGCGTGAGACACCACGCCCCGCCAATGTCCTAACAGTTTTAAACTCCAGCCCTAACAGTTTAACAGTTAAAAGTCCTAATAGTTTAAACCCACAAAAACACATCAGAAACTTAACTTGTAACAGTAGTAGGCGGGCACAATAAACACCCCTTGGCATCACGTCCTCACGAAAGAGCTAGAGCTAGAAAGCCACAGCCCCGTACAAGCGCATACGTGTGCGCAAGCACTCCCTTGCGCTCAGGATTCGGAAGGAGAGGACACCCCAAAGCCACGAAGGCGCCAGGCCACACAGAGATGAGCCAGAGGCTGCGTTAAGCAGAAGGGACAGAAGCCCAGGGCTGAAGGGTTGGCCACCAGAGGACCACAGCCTGCCCCTCATGCCACGCACCAAGGAGTACCAAGGCCACATCTGTCTTCCCACCTGGAGTGGCCCGCAGTGGCCTGTGACACAGCACCGCAGAGGAACCCAAGGAACCCCTAACGATCCTTGACACTGGCAACTGATCCTTTGCCAATCCCAAGAGGCCGGGGCGGGGGGGAGGAATGGGCAGTGTGCACAAGGGACAGGGACTTAATGCAGGCTTTTGACCTGCTCTCTTACAGGGAATTCCTCATTAATGGGAAATAACTGCAATCCTGACCCCCATCACTAATGGATTTAACAGATCTGAGTGCCTAATTGGCTGGCTGCTCAATCTCTGGTGGCTCAACGCCACCTGTCTAAAGGATACCGAGCACTCAGTCACACCTACTGGTTAACATGCTAGTAGTCTCCCTGGTTATCAATTAACTAGGCAAATCTCTCCATCAACACAGAAAAGTCACGCAGCACCCTCACCCATGGAAGAACGATCAATGATCAATCAATCCTGTCCACGATGGAGCCAGGGGAGGTTGCCCGTACTGAGTCAAATGAAGCACAGATTCCACTGCAGGTGCCTTTCAATTTCAGCTTTGGAACCAGAACCTTCCCCTACCACCATCCAAAGGACTTTGGTTTCCCAGAATCTGCCGGTGGATCGAGCATCATCACGGTTTATGGTCAGAATTTCACAGGACCTGAACCTCTTTAAACCTCCCACTTTTACCTTCATCCTTTATTAATGAAAACATCCTTAGCAAAAGCTTTCACTCTGGTCCGTCTTACACTGGCCCAAGATTTGACCCCTACCTAGCTACACAATATTGACACCCCCATTGTCCTGCTTAATCAGTCTCCTCAAAGTTCGACATAAACAAAACAGAACCACTCTCCGGTTCCATGATTCCCCACTAGCAGTATCCAGGTAGCCGGCACCCTATTTGAACACTGTAATTTTCTCCCAGGGTGCGCTTCCACCCCAGACAAGGAGCTAAGAGCTCATAAGGTGCCCAGAGGCAAGGGGTGGAAACTTCCTCAGGGTAGACCCTGAGCAGAGCCTAAGATCCAAGCACCAACATTTTATTAATATCTGCACCAAATTCAATACACGGCATTGAAACTGGGATTACCATGGCTGCCAGCACCAGACTTGCCCTGCAAAAGATCTCCTTAAAAGGATTTAAAGTACACTCATTCCAATTACAGGGCCTAAAAAGAGTCCTGTTGTTTTTTTAATCATCATTGCCCTCCCGGTTTCGGTTTCACAGTGGGCAATTTGCACACCTGCTGCCTTCCTTGGATCGGGTATTACTCCATCAGGATCTCTCTGCACAACCCAACAGAACCGAGATTCATCATCGCCTGGATTCCAGGTCACCGTGGTCACCAGGGTAAGCAATGCAACTGCCATCTAAAAGTGCCATAGGGGCGTGCAATTGCTCTAGGTTACTTAGAATCACCAAGACCGCTAGCCACCATGGGCGCGTATTAGCTCTAGAATCACTACTTATCTAGGTAGCTTAACGCACATCCAAAGCCATTCACAACATCACTGTAGAATACTTAGACACCTGTAGATTAACTTTTGGGACAGCAAGTGCTACTGTAAGGTGTACCAGGCAGGATGGGTGCGAGTACAGATGGGCAGGTCCTAGACATAGGGTCCAATCTCCCCGGCCTGCCCTCCACTGCAGAAATAGGAAGTAGAGTGTGGCAGCTACAGCCTGGCCAAGGGACACTGTGCAGATAGGGACCGTAGGCACACAGCCACACTCACATGAATGAGAGTTGCCACATCGCCCTCCAAGAACAAAGTGACTGGTTAGCCACTGAATATGGACTGAGATAGGGCAAGGACAGCCCTTACTGGCACACCGCTGCCTGTGAGATGCAAGGACAATAGGAGGAGCAATATCCTCGTGGATATGGCTAGTTGGTAGCTTGGTGGGCTTACCCCCCACGATGCAGACCTCCCCCACCTAGGCCCCCTAGGGGACCAAGTGACACGTGGCCTGAGAAAGCTGCAGAGGAGAGCAAAACAGCAGCCAACTCCAGGGAGCACTCGCCCATAAGAGGCAATGCTCACTCACTCCAAGGTTCCAAGGGGATGGCCAGCAGGCAAGTGACGGAACTCAGGGAAAGGGGAGGTGGGGGGCAGAGATGCCAGATCTCTCCACTTAGAGAAATGGAGACACCCATGCATTAGCTTGGACACTGATTTTTCAGAAGATCTCCACCCTTCTGAATGACAAAACCAGCAAACACAATACTAAGCAAACACAACTCTAAAATCAAGCCCTGGGGCTCTTCTTGGCCTAGAGTAGAGAACTGGGATCCCTGGGGTCCAGAGTTGCTCACTCAGAGATTGCAAGTTCAAAACCATTTTCATAGTAACACTAAGACTTTCCTTTTTACTCTCATTGTCTTGCCACTTTACAGTGGTGTTCTCTAGAGACTATATGAGAAAAAAGAACAAATGCAGGCACAGACGGAAAAAAAATCCAGCTGCTTCTCATTAAACGAAACATTAAAGAGATTTGCGCGGTGGCTCACGCCTGTAATTCTAGCACTCTGGGAGGCCGACGCGGGCGGATTGGTTGAGCTCAGGAGTTCAAAACCAGCCTGAGCAAGAGCAAGACCCTGTCTCTACTAAAAATAGAAAGAAATTAATTGGACAACTAAAAATATATAGAAAAGATTAGCCGGGCATGGTGGCGCATGCCTGTAGTCCCAGCTACTCAGGAGGCTGAGGCAGGGGGATTGCTCGAGCCCAGGAGTTTGAGGTTGCTGTGAGCGAGGATGATGCCACGGCACTCTAGCCTGGGCAACACAGTGAGACTCTGTCTCAAAAAAAAAAAAGAGAGAGAGATTTGCAAATATAAAAATACATCCACTTTTCTCATCAATTTTGGGGGTTTGGAATATAGTTATTTTCGTAAAAAAAATGGTGTTTATAATAATACACAATGAGTGTGTTATTTTTAAGTTGAAATAAATATTTCCAAAATTGTTCTTCAAGGAGTTCTTCAAGAGGAAGAACAAGTGCATTAATCCATTTGTTACTTTAAATAGTCTTGATTATATGAAAACAATGGCAGACTAGGTCTTTAGTGGGAAAAAAACATCCTAAAGGGAATTCTAACATACCACTATTCCCAAGCAGTAATTAATAACTCTTAAAAATCTTCCTTTTACCTCTTTTCACATTTAGCCAACTGTATAATGAAATACAAATAATTCTAATAAATGGGTCAATATACATTCTCTATTGCTATAGGCTTTTAAGTCAAAATGTTTTATAAACTATTAAAATGATCATTTATTTAATAAAGCATTATTTCTATTAACATTACACAGACATGATAAAAGAATAAAAATCTTTAAGTCATGGCAGTGTCCGCCCCCGTCCCGCTTATTGGGTCTTAGGAGAAAAAGGAAGATAAAGGAAAGGAAAATTAATTTTGTCCTATCTCCTCAAAATAAATCCAAACTGATATTTTCTTAGTCTCAAAATTAATCTTAATTAACTGGCATTTGATCTTTCATGATTTTAATTCCTATTTGGTATAATATACTTAGGACCTTTAATGAAGGCATTTAAAAAAACTATATAGACATTCCCTCGAAACAAAAAGTATCAAAAAAAAAAAAAACCACAAAAATTTTGATTGACAGTAAAAACTACCCTTTATTTAGTACCTAGCATCTTTAGACAAAGTTTAAGCACTCTGAATGCACTATTTCATTGAATCCTAATACTCACCGTTTGGGAAACTGGGGTTGAAAGGGCTAAGGTAAGGTAACACATCTAAGGC